CCCCGTAACGCCCACTTGGCACGCGCCTATCACTTTTTTTAAATGCGCCATGTGTTTGCACTTTAATTGAATATAAATGTAAATTAATGATGCAAAAATAATTTTTGCTTCGAGGCTTTGCCATTTTGCGCCTGCCAAAGTGACTGTAATAGTGGTTGTTGTTGCTGCTGCTGTTGTTGTTGTTGCTGTTGTTGCTGTTTGTTAACAGTTTCATGTTGCGGCGGTATTTGCTGATTTTCTGTGTTTTCAGCGATTTCATGGCAGTTAGCAGTTATATATAATTAATTTGCATTTAACTAAATTTGCATAAATAAATAAGTACGCAATGCATTCACTCGTTAAGTTGAAAGACAAAAACCATTGCATAGTTATGGGCGTAAATTACACACCATTCTTAATTGGACTTAACTACATAGTTGTACAGCAAAGAGAACAAACAAGGTTTACAATTATGCGTTTGTGTTCATGTCACTATTTTCATATTGTTTTCTTTTTGTTTTGTTTTGTTTGAAGTTTAGTAAAAACTTTATGGTTTAGTATATTACAAAATGATTTAGTTGTAACTTAAAGTGTTTTCGTTCCGGAACTTAGCTCACAATCAAACAATGCAATTCACAATAGATTCTGTAGTTCACAATCTGTAATCTGGTATCAAAAATGTGACTGTCATTTGTTAGGTTTATGTCTGAATGGTCGAATGCTGGAACTGGCTGAACACGAGCAGGCCTTTTAGACAGTTTGAGGTTTGAGGTTAGGTTGAGCATATTTTGAGGTTAATTTGGGTTGGAATTCTGGATTTAGGTACGGGGCTTGTTAAAAGTTGTGGTTAATGTGGCGCTGGGTAGGGTTTGATTGAGGTTAACTTTGGATGTGAAGCATTAAATATATTTATTTTAAAAGTGGGGTTATGTTAGCTTTAAACTGCGGCTGAGTTGATTAATGCCAGAAACCACTTTGGATCGAAGTTAAATATAGATGGAAAAGCTGTAAAAGCTCTGTTGCCTCAGTCAGTTCCATTCAATACCATTGATGTGTCTATCTTACGATCGAATGTCTTATACGGTAATACGCTTTATTTTAGCTTGCGCTTTACTTTTAGTTTCTTTTTGTGGCTGTCGTTTTGTTGAGCTATAAATAGTTTTTCTTTGCATTTTTTTTTGCTTTGTTTTGGGTCTGTACTGATTCGGGCTGTTGAGTACTCTTATTGTGGGGAGGGGGGTGGGGGGACATATATGTATGCCTTACTATGTATATATATAATGCATATGTTGTATATGTATTTGTATTACATTTCATGCAGGAGCTATACACAAACATTGATGCTTAGTTTAACGCTATGATGTATGTTTCATTATGTATGCCATTGCTTTTGCTTATTTGTTTGATTGATTGATGTATGGTATGTATGTTCTTCATTTTCTTCAACTTCTCCACCTTGTCTACGTCTACGTCGCCTTCGTCTTTTGTTTTTCTGCTACTATGGCTAATGACACTGCTACTACTATGTTTTTTTGTTTTTCTTGTTGTTTTTTTTTTTTGGATCTTCCATTCATTTTGTTTTTCAACTACTAACGACACATTTAAATATTTGCAACTGCTCTACTTTAAAATAGTTTTAATTTTAATATATCATATGCCAGTTTGTCACATTCCTTCACATACGCAACCACATCCGCTTTCGCATCCGCATCCGCATCGGCATCCGCATTCGCATTCGCACACTGAGCCAATAGGCTGCCCCAACCAAATAAGTATGCTACACTCTTCACGGTTCACTCAATCTCAAAAACTATTTGCTATCGTACTATTTTCTTCTGTCATATTTTCCTTTAGCCTATTTGCATCAATTGAAAATTCAATTTGTCTTCATTTTGTTTAATATTGATAGCTATGCGTTTGCCTTTTATTGCTTTTAATTTAACTTTTACGTTTATGTTTCATTTTATATATATATATATATAGATATATATATGTATGTATGTATATTTATGTTTAGTTCTCTAGAGGCTTTTGTTTTTTTGTCTTATTTTTTTTAGGGAGTTTTGCGCTTTTCTCAGGGTTTTGTTACTTTCATTTTTTTGAAAAAATTAAGGTACACATTAAAAATAGTTAGGTTTTTACTTTTTTAGGTAGGCTTTGTTTTTCTTTTTTTTGCTTTTATTTAAAAAAATGAAAACTTTCAATAAAGGGGCCTTAATGACATAGTACACTACTAACATGCTGTGTTCCGTGTTCTGTGTGTTTGTGTGTTTGCCTTTGTCCTACTTTGACTATACCTGGTACTTGTGCAAGTAGCTGTAGTAGTTTTACGAGCAGCTTTGAGCTATAGACAAAGGATTTGTTGGCATTGCGGTGGCAAGGAAATTAAGAACCTTCCAGCTGCAAGCTGAAGTTGCAACAAACGAGAAGCTAATTGGGTGGCTTTTAAGAAAACTTATTAGCTGCCTTGAATAGAAGCGCAGGAAAAAAATGAAACTAAAGAAAAATGCTGGAGAAATATATGGAAGGGATAGAAATGAATGGAATCAAGCATTCCCTTTCTTTTCTTTTCTTTTTTAAAGCAAAACACAATGAAAAATCAAATAAGAAATACGAAGTAATTGTCTTTAAGTTGTAGAAGAAGCAAAACGAAATATTTTGTTTAAAGTTAAGTTAGTCTCTTTAAATAATGAAACACTTCCCTCAGTTTCAGCTCGTAAAAAAAGATGTTTTAATGTGAAACTCTTTTGAAGTTTTAAGTCCTAAGTAAAGCTACCTCGGAATCATTTACAGAAAAGCTCTCAAAAAAACCCGCTTCATAAAAAAAACTTGCACAAATCCGCCTGCAAATCAACTTTTCATTCCCAAAGCTCAAACTCTAAAATGCACGCTACATTTTCGTGTGTGTGAGTGTGTGTGTGTGCGTGTGTGTGTGTGTGTGGGTGGGTGCGTGTGTGTTTGTTGCATTTGAAGTGTATGTAGTTTCCGTTTACTTTTTGTTTAGCTTCAGAGTTATACTTTTTTGTTGCTATGTTAGTTTCATTTGGTTTTTTTTTTTGTATATGTTTATGTAGTTTTTTAAACTATTTTCTGACTTTTTGTCGTAACTATCGCAAGTACATTTTCCAAAACCGTTTTTGTTTGCATTTAATTAAATTATATGAATACTTTTCATCTATGTTGTTGTTGTTTTTGTTTAGTGTAAATGTTGTTTGTTGTTGTTGTGGTTGTTGCTGTTGTTTGTTGTTGTTGTTGTGTTCGGTGTTTTTGTTGCTCTTACGAAAACAAAAACAAATATTCTATCGGAAACGCCTTTGTCCTTTGGAGCATTTGAAAAGTAGTCGCTCTTTTGAGCGAAGGACCTTATCTGCTAGTTTAATTTATTTTATTTTTCATTTTTTAATCAAAGCAATGGACAGAAACAACTCTAACTTTCAGGTTTCCAAAGCAAGGCCCGATAATACGCAAGTAACGAGCATAAGCCGAACTATGAAAACCTTTGCTTGTTGCACATTTGTCGGCTTTCCAACTTTTTTCCATTTCGCGTAGCTTTTTTTTGGGAGGGGGAGGGGGGGTTTTTCCTAATTAGACACACTCATTGTTGTCGTCATTTGCGTTCTTTTACTGGGTCAAAGCTTTGTGGCCATTCGGTTGCAAGGAAGGCGGGTAAAGGCCGGTAAAGGGGCTGGCGGGAGGTGGCGTAAAGTGCCTTACTCGACACCCAGTAAAAAGTTGCTCGTCAAGTGGCCTGAATGCAAAAAAAGTGGGGGAATAAAAAACATAACAAAACCTCAAACATTTTGGCCCATATTTAACGGCCACGCCCCCCGGGGCGCAGTTCTCGAGCTCGGCACAGCGAACTTTTCCTTTGTGTTTTTAATTTCTAACAGGGCTAAAGTTTTTTCCGTAGGTGTTTTGTATCTAGGTATGTGTGTGTGTGTGTATGTGTATATATAGATGTGTAGTTTTGCGCAAATAGTTTTTAATTTGTGGCAAACATTCTGTCGGCTTGCGCACGATCTGTTAAATATGTATTTTTTTGATTGTTTCAACTTTGCATTTGCCAACTTGTCACTAATCCATAGTTAATGCCAGTTAATAGCAGTTATCCTAAAAATATATGCTATATAGATTTGTATATATATATGTATTTATTATATATATACTTGACTTCTATAGCAATCGCTCGTTTTGCTTGTCTGTTTGCCGTTTTGGTATAAAAATTTTAACTTTAGTTCGGGTTTCTTTGAATTATTTGCTTTATGCTTTTGCTTTATTTGCATTTTATTTTTTTAATATTAATATTTTTTTCTGTTTTGTATAAAATACTCACATTCACATTTACAACTACGAACCACGTAACTACTTATAGATGTATTGTATTGTATATATAGACTTTATAGTAATAGTTATGTATGTATATGTATATATAAATGTATTTATGTATGTATGTATGTATGTATATCGTTATCGTATGTATGCACGTATGTATATGGTATATTTTTACTACTTCCGAGCAAACCTCGACAACACTCAGCTCATCATTCTTCAACGCGTACGCCGGCTAGAAGTTACATATAGTCTAGGAGTAGTCTATATATACCTATACCTAAGCCCATTCCAAATACCTACTCACACACCCTGTATAATGCTTAGCTCCTCACATTCGCGAAATATCTGACCGAAAACCGAGTATTTGTTTTTTGCCTAAAACGACGCATCAATTGCCTTAGAAGTTGCCTTAACGAGTCTAAAGTATTTACAACTTAGATTTAGCATACAATTAGTTATAGCTAGGAGAGAGAGAGAGAAAGAATGATATACATATATAAATATATCTATATCTATATATTTGGATATATATATTTATAGATATATTTATATACATATAAATATATTTATATATGTAAAAGAGTGAGAAAGGCAACACTTTGAGTGTAGAGCATTTTATGAGTTGAGTTTGAATAGTAACTGAATACAACTTAGTAATACATATATAAATAATATGCAGTTAAAGCGAGTGTTTATAGTCATAAATTAACAAAAATATACAGTTAGAGCTAGGCTTGGGCAAATAGCGATAATAATGGATAGTTGGATATAAAAAAGGTAATTTAATGTTAATAGATTTTTCATTGACAGCAAGAACAGAAAGTGTGTAGGGGTATTCAAGCTTGGGGAATATAAGTATTATCGTTAAGTTGCCCAAACCTAGCGAAGGAAATGAATTTACATAATATTGTTGAATATCTCGTAATGCCGAAACTTGTCTATCTGGTTTTCTACCCTAAAACCTTTCTATCAGATTGAAAAATTATAGTTAATTTAAACATGTTTATCATCATCACACCTGGTGCAGAGTTTGCTTTCATTATTTTTTCTTCTTTTTAGACTTTTACGCCATTTCTCAATTAAACAAAGTAAAGTCGCAAGTCTTTTCAAACCTCAACTAAATAAATGTGTTACTTAGTTGTTTGTTTGCTCTTTTGTTATATATGGACGTATAAATGTTATATGTGTAATGTATGTAGGCTTATTTTTCTTTTCATTCATTCCTTCCTACGCTCCGAACTTAGTTCCTGGTTTTGCGCGCACTACAAGTGACTAAACTTAACTGGGATTTAATTATGTGTTATGCTTTACGAACTATTTACGAGTATGTTTATGTTTATGTTTATGTTTGTCGTTTAGTTTAGTTTAGTTTAGTTGCCTATATCTATGCCTTTGCTCAAGTGGTTTTTCTGAATTTCTTCATTTGCGATTGTGTCTTGCAATGTCCAACAAAAATCATCAGACGTTCAAGCTTTACATAAGTCAGACCCTATATATATATATATATATGCTATATAATAAAACTATTATGTAGAAGGAATGACTGCACTAGTTGTCTGTTATTATACGTACTCGTATCATTCTATATATATATTTGCTTTTCTTTTATTTTTATTTTGTATATCATATAACGACAACAACAACTAATTATTGCTTTTCGGTTTTTAAAATGCGGTACGCGAATATTTTATTATTTTTTCTTTTTTTTTGTTTTTTGTTTGTTTTTTTTTTATCGTTTTTGTTTCTGCTTAAAGTACCTTAAAAAAAATCATTAATAATTTACTAGAAGCTAGAACAAAAATAACAAAATTTGCGAGAATTGGCTTAAATAAACAGGGAGAAACAGCAGGACAGAGACAGAAAGACAGAAAGAGAGAGAGAGAGAGAGAGGGCTTAGATTGGGAGGCAGGAGCCGGTATCTAGCTTATCATAAATAATTAATAGTTCTGCAATTTTTTCATAAACTTTTTTTGTTGTTTTTCTTTTTCGTATTTTGTTATTTGTGTTTGCTTTGCTTGATGTTGTTGTCTGTACTTGTATTGTAGTAGGATTAAGAGCTGTCATTTATAGTTAAAGAGTTGTAGTTGCATTTTGTTTGTTTTGTTTTTCTTTTCTTTTGAGTATTTATGTATTTAGTGTAGTTAGACGGTGGTGCCTGTGCTGCTGCTGCTGCTGCTTCGCTCTGCTGTGCCATTGGGTGCGTCTGCTCCTCACGTCCTTAGCATCAGCAGGAGCCACCAGGATGCGGCGCCCAGCCACAGCAGACAGCTGGTAAACTGGCCACAATTGCTCCGGTTGGCACCGCTTAGTCCCCCGTGGCCATCAGTCGCCGAGCTGCGACTGCTGCGTGCTGCTCCCTCGATGATGTTGTTGTTGTCCAGCTCATGGAGCACCGGCAACTCACTGAGATCCGCCGCAGGCGAGGTGCGCTCCGTGATGGGCGCGAAGAGGCGCTTCGGCTTGCAGCGCTTGTGCTTCTTGTAGGTCTTGGTCACATTTATGCTGTAGCCTTCGAGAAACTCGGAGCCCTGCAAAAGGAAATGGAGAAACATTTGCGTTGGTTCTGCATCTAATAAATTACAGCATTAATTAAATTTTTCTTTCCTTCTCCAACTATTATATTACACCAGCTGACTAAGAGTGGGCGAGACGGAGCAGCAGACGGACAGACAGATAGGAAATTAAAAAAAATTAATTTCTCTCGTTGTCGTTGCAACCAAACCAAAATGGGCAGCGTTCTCTTTAAGCATAATCTAACTATGTAAGTGTAATCCATGTCCATAAATATATGAGTCACTATTTGTATGAATTCTTACTGCTTCAAATCCGATCGATCCGATCCAAAGCTTTTCATACGCATATTCTCATTATCCCTCCATCTGCACAGGATCTCCTCGCAGCTGAACTCCAACTTCTCTAGACTACCTTATTTATACTGCTGGCTCCTCTTATGCATTTACACACTTGATCTGTATTCACATATTTAACACACACGCTTATACACACTGACAGAAAATGTGTTGTCTTAAATGTAAAGCTAAAAACGTAGCCTGGACGAGGCTTGGTATCCGCTTATTTGTTTATATCAATAAATTCCGTTTAAAACACCCATTTTAGAAAAGTTCTACATTTAAAATAGTGCTGAGATGTTTATAAATATGCATACATGTGTCCCTTCCTTTCGGATTGGGAGATGGAATCCCAGACATTTTGATTGCAAACTTAACTTATCTGGCCTGCTCAGAAGGATATAAACAATATATTAAAATTGTCTAAATTTCTTCTAGACTTCCTATATACAAATTAAACGCTGCACCTGCTATGAATTTTGCGCTATTCCAGACGATTGCCATGACTAAACATACTTTATGCCGCGCTTAGGATATCTACGCTAGGGCGCAAATCCACAACACCTACACAAATTCCAAGCACAATAAGAATACAATGAAGCCATCAGATTTGTCGTTTTCCACTCCAGCTCCAGCGGCAAAATTTTGCCTTTTAATTACGCTGCATAAATTTGTGTTTATAAATAGGCAATGGCAATGGCAATGGCTACGAGTCCGGCTACGACTCCGGCTATGGCTATGGCTATGGCTACGGGTCTGGTCTGGTTTGGTCTGTGCGGCTCGCGCTCGAGGCTTGGGGCTGGGATTCGGCTCTGGATTTGGGCTCGGGTGCGCCATCTTTCCGGGCTGCGGTCAAATATTTTATGGCAGTCGAAAAATCTAAATCTACTGAATGTCTGTATTTCGCTAGTGGGCGTGGCACACAATGGGCGTGAGCGGGAGAGAGAGAGGGAGTGAGAGAGAGAGACTTCATAACGAGTGTTTACTAATAATATTATGCAAATCGTGCTACGGGCCAACGTTGGAATCAGGAGCCAGCGATTCGTTTGTTTGCTGTTTGCTGCTGTTGTTGGCTGTTGAATTTTTCAAAAGGCATTTTGTGAATCGTTTTACGCTGCCAAGCTCACACCCACACGCCTACCCACAACTCCACACCTCATCCAACCCCAAATATGAAAATACTTGACAGACATTCGCAGGTGTGTTTGGACAGTTTATACTTTGTGGGTGTATTCAGAAGGTGTCTGGGGTTTTTTGGAATTGCCTTCCTGTTGTTGTTATTGTTGCCACTGACAGGGACAGGCAGCATAATTGAAAAGGAATGTACGGGCACTGCGAGTGGGGCCACTCGAAATTATAAAATGTGCATAAATTTAAAGCCTTAATTGCCGTGCTTTAAGCCACGTATGGGCAGGACTCTATAGATTCCTCTTGGATTTTGACATGCTAATTAGCTGCCGGGTTGGCCCTGATTTGGGCGCTGGTCATTTGAGTTTTTGGCCAGCAGCTTTTTGGATATGCCACGCATATCCTGAGTATGCTTTTTTTGTTTTTTCTTTCTGTTTTATACTAATTAGTGTTGCCAGGCAATGTTTGTTTTGTAGGCAGGTGTAACTTTGAAATGGGTTGCCCGTCGGAATTTCAGGCGAAATACATGTGTGTAATCCCCTCTGATTAGAAATGAAATTCATTTGAAATGCATCTAGTTTTAAATAAAGGCTCAAATGTTGTCATGGGCTTCGAAAATAATCTACAGCCTGAACGCAGACTAAACAACAGCTAAAAAAAGCTTTAAACATCAGCTTAAATCCTTACATATAAGTTCAGTATGTATTTTATAAACATATATATATATGTATATGTAGCATATATATTTCGAGTTGGCTTTTTGCAATCCATTTGATTTTTATCTAAGAGCTCTATTGACTGGCCAGATGTTGCTAACTTTAGACATTTATTAAAAGTTATCAAAAAAATTCAGTTCATTTAATTTATGTTTTTATAACTTCTGAAACTAGGCCTTCCAGCCCATCGACTTTGAAAGCATCTACAAAAAAAAGGACTCCTTTGTCTACTCTTCAGCGATTCATAATTTTTTTAGTCAGCTTTGCCAAATGGGCCAAGTTTTGCCTTTTTTCATTCTGTTTTTTGCTCTAAAGGTGCCTTGTAAATTTTTACGGTACATTGAACTCAATTTACCTTTCAATCTGCAGCTGGTTGACATGTTTGCTCATCATTTGCCCGGACTAAAACTATTTTATCGGCTTGCTAAAGCTTTTTGTCTCTTCTATTTTATGCACTTTCTGCTCGCTGCTAATTTGGACGCTGCTGCAATGGTTTATAAGTCCAATGGATCTGTCACAGAAGCCAACGGATGCCTCGAGGCAGCCTCCAATGAATTATTGACTTGACGGATGAAGAATAAAAAGGGGCAGGGGGCAGGGGGCAGGAGGGGGAGGGGGAGGAGAGCGTAAAGCGTAAGCCAAACCGAGCTGGAAATGGTCAACAATATTTAACGCAATAGCACGGAAAATCGATGACAATTCAAGCGTTGATAATTTTGCTTCCCACCAGCGCGAGTGGCATGGAAAAAAATGGCAACAATTCCCAACTTAAGCAATTTCCTACAATTTTCCAGCGACTAGAAGCATGGTCATATGGGAGCATTCATTCAGCCAGTCAGCCAGTCAGAGAGTCAGTCAGTCAGAGAGTCAGTCAGGCAGAGAGTCAGTCTCTTGGTCGGTTCGTCTGTCGGTCGCCCGGTTGAACGAATCGCCTGAGCCATTGGACGTGAATTAGTGTGGCTGGCTGGCAGCTGGCTAGCGACTTGGTTTTAGTGTGTGACCCATTAGAATGATCGTTGTCGAAGTTGTACGTGCGCCGGCTGATATATGTGACCTGGTTGGGTCTCTGCTCCGCTCTCTGCTCTGCTCTGTGCACCGTTCTGGTGTGGTCTGCTTGAGCCGCGTCTGGCCTGTAAAGTGGCGCTAACCAACTCGAATGTTGCCCATTGCCAGCCCGCCAGCCAGCCAGCCAGCCAAGCCCAGCCAACGAGCCATCAGGCAGCCAGCAACTGCAATTGATTGCACTTTATAACGTGCGGTTTCCGGTAGACATTACCCGCTTTGCTGCAGCCACATTATCCGGGCCCTCAGAGATAAGAGAGAGGGACAGACAGAGAGAGAGAGAGAGTTAGCCGGAGGGGGTGTGTAGGCCAATTGCTGGGCTGGGATGCCTCTAATGTCTTTTGCCCATACTCCTGACGATGAATAAATGAGCACTTGTCTAGGATCTCTGTGTGTGTGTGTGTGTGTGTGTGTGTGTCGCTGGCTCCCAAACCAAATGGCAGCAAGAAAAATTATCCCAGATATTGTCTAGCAATTTAGCTGATTAAGCTGATGGATGTAAAGCAGCAAAAGCAGCGAAAGCAGCGAAATGTTGCCATCAGATCAGAGAGCAGCAGATAAAATGAAGTTGACAAGAAAAGGGTTAATGCGATTTCAACTGTGACAGCGGCTTACGATGGCCACATTCCGTGCCAACAATTACTAACGAATATCCTATAGAACTTAAGGCAAAAATTTACTTTGATATATGGACGACACACATATTTCTAAACAGTTCAGACCCAAGCCTTTCTAGAATCTCTATTATTGTTTCATTTGGAATTCAGTATCATATCATAGGGTATGCACAATTCGTTGTTGTTTACGCCCCGTCTCTTTCATTCTGGTGTTTTTTGTGACTTTCACTTGGTTAGACTTTATCGTTGGGATAAATCGAAGTTGCTTACTCACCGGCACCACATGATTCTTGGCTCCCCAGCAGATGGGCTTAAAGCTGCCCTTGCGTGTGGCCTCTTGAAATTCGCCAAATTGATTTTCCCAATCGTAGGATATCAGACGTGCCTCCAATGTCATGCCAGCCAATTCGGGCGGTGATGAAATCAGCACGGGATTTGAGTCGCTGCACAGAGGAGAGAAAGTGGAAGAGAGAAGCAAAATAACATTATTAACTTTATTATTATTGTCAACTTTGATTAGGACTTAAAATTTATTACAGCCCAACCGCCCAGCCCCGCCCAAAAGTCGCTTTGCCAGCAGATTTTCAAGTCCTATCGCCGGGTCGACGGGGGATTGGTAAGTTGGTAAGTCGGCGCAGATTTGCGCCGGCTTTTCGCTGTCGATGGTAAGTTCAGGGAAAGACGGTCGGCGAAAAACTTGAGCTAATTAATCTTTTAGATTTCATTTGTGACGCGTCAAATACTTTATTTTATTTTTTATTTTTGGGCATGCCAGGGGTGACGCGGCCAAACGAAATAAAAACCGCACCACGAATAAAGCAGGGCCAGCAGCAGGCGGGCAAAAACCCAAATAAATGGGCCAAAAGTGTAAAACCTCAAAGCAAATGCCTGGCTGCGGCAAGCGCTCTGCAGGGAATGCGGCCAAAAAATGTTGTCTGCAGAAGGTGCAATGACTAATGAGCTGGCTTAGATATATATTTGTTATCTATTTAACTTTTCTATTTATTTATTTATTTTCTGTTTTGTTTTTGGGCAGCTGTAGCCAACCCTTGTGCTTATGCCATCATTAGTCTGGCTTGCCTTGCCGCTATTCAAGTTGTATTTTGTATGGCTAACGAGTTAACAAAATGGCACTCGCTTTTATTAGATTACTCGCTACTCGCTGTTTTAGTAGGTCACTCGCTACTCGCTCACTTTTTCCTGCATTCTCGTTGTTTAATTTCAAATGGTTTTCGCTTGTGTCTCGGCCTTTACAGCCCTTACGGCCGCGCCACTGCATCTTTAGCGCAATATAAATTCCTTATGCATTCTTTTCATTTGATTTGATTTCATTTCATTCATTCCCTCTATTCATTCATTTCGCTTCGTTTCGCTAGCGCCATCTATGATTGCCAGCCGGCATCACGACCCCACGACCCCACGGCCCACGTCTGCTGCCAGTCTTTTTCTGCTCTCGTCTCGACCGCCCTTACAATTAGGCTAATTAATTTTGTTCTTTGGCTGGCATTACGAAAAATGTTGCTTTAATTTTCTAGCACACACACAAGCACAAACACACACACACAGACACACACAGCAAGAGTAAAACATGAGCCAAACGCACATTTTCTTTGTTGTGCTGGCTGTGTGCTTCCTGTTTGACTGTGTGGCAGAATCCTTTGCAAGCCGCAAACAAATCTCTTTTAATTAATTTATGATTCCACTCAATCCGCATCGAGGGTTGTATGATATCTACAGGGGCAGACAGCGTCCCGTCGGGTCGCGCCGCTCCGGCCTGGGTTGGGTTGGGTTGGGTAATGGGCAAGTGGCTGCTGCAGCGCATGAGAGCCGCAACAATTTGCGGTTGGCAACACGAAAATATTAATGTCTGCGGATTGATTGCAACCTCACACCTCACCCCATGCCCTCTGTTTCCTCGGCGCAGCACAGAAACCACCCACAAAACTAAAAACTGGCCACTTGTATGAGTCTCGAGTGTGTGTGTGTGCGGGTGTGTGTGTGCGCGTGTGTGTGGTCCTGTCCATTGTACACCGTAATATTAATATATAAAATAAAATATTGCATTCATCCATATGTTCAACTCTGTTTGTGGCCCGTGTCCTGTGTGGCTGCGTCCTGTGTTCTGCGTCCTGCGTCCTGTTGCCTGTGTCTTGCATACGTGTATCTTTTGACAGGAACACTCCCCATTCCCTTCTCTTCCCTTCCCTTCCCCTTCCTTCGCACCTCCCCCAATAGTTGGTCGGTGTTTGCGGTTTATTGAGCGAACCATTGCGTAGCGTCGCTCAACGCGTCGCTAATATATCCGGGCACCACGTGACCGTAACCTCCACTGCCCGCTGCGGTATCATAATAAATATAAATGCAGTGGAAACGCGCACAGCTGTTGCTAATGTTAAAAGGCAATGCCGGAGCATAGATTAGGCTGATCCCTTGGCCCTCTGGCCGCAGTCCCGCCCCACCCATCATGGTCCGCATCCCGCAACCGCCACATCAATCGCTGGCCGTTTCATTCTTATGGCTGTTGACTTCATTGGCACTCAGTATAATTAAAATTATGAGCCAGCAGCAGCAGCAGCGGCAGCGGCAGCAGGACAAAAGCTGTGACTCCACTTTGGTTTGGCATTGTTGATTATAAAATCCAATAGCTGCACCACATCACAATGCACATGTGCGCCACCGAACTGCGTTTTTGGATTGCCCTGCAGGGCACAGATCCTAAGCCGCGCACAAAAGGGAGCTGGCAGCAGCCAACAGGCAACAGGCAGCGGGCAAGGGGCAACAGGCAAGGGGCAATTGCAACAGCCGCAGCAACTGCAACTGCAACGGCAACTGCAATGCGAGTTCCAATGGGTTTATTTATGTAGCGTTATGACGGGTGTGTGTGTGTGTGTGCGTGTGTGTGCGGGTGCATTTATGGGACGAAATTCAATTTTGAACTCCTATTGCAATTGCAGTTGGCAGCACGGCAAAAAGCAATGGCCATGCCGATGACAAATGAAAACTTAAATTGCACAAATAGCCAACTGCTGTTGGCCAAAAGGACATTCTCGTCCCTATGTACGAATGTGTGCAAGTGCCTCTATGTGGCTAACAATTGATTATATATACTAGGCATTATATGCTATTAAATGACTACTTGATAAATATGCCTAGGAGACTTGCAAAGTTGCGGCATGTCATGTGCAAATTACAGCCTGAACAGGAAAAGGAAAAGCTTTAACCCAAGATATCAGAAGAAGCTTTGCATTCTTCATTAGATATACTCCTCCTTAAAAAATTTTAAATTGCTGCTGAGTTTGAACCAGCGAGCTGCCGCGGGCTGGACCAACTCTTAAGCTACGCAGGCTGAAGGCCTTAATGTAGGAGATTTGAGAGAAATGCACGAGTTAGAAGATGTTCTAAGAACAACAAGACGATGAAGAGATGTCAGAAAGTGGAATAATTGGAGGATTAGAAACTTGTCTTTCTTGAAATAGGTAAATACCAGAGAAATTTCATGCCAGCTGAGAGTTCCCAACAAAAACTACCAGAGAAATTTCATTCCAGCTGAGAGTTCCCAACAAAAACTCTCAGCACAATAGAATTTAAACGCTCTTGATATCATATTTATTGACATTGAGCTTTGTTACTCCAGAAGGCGCTAACATTAGTTCAGATCATGAGAATCCTTGAATTGAATAAAAAACAGTCAAGGGTAGGCTCAATTTCGCTGAAGGATGGGTTAACCTTCTTAGGAATCTATGAGTTATTCTTTAAATTTAAATTTACTTCGACTGTTGTTCAGTTCAAGCTGTTGCCAAAAATTCATTAAGAATAATGGCTTCACGCAAAAAAGAACCACAAATTAAAAATGCCAACCACGTGCTGTCAAGCAATTTGATATCCTTTGCCATTTGCAGATGAAAGGAAAGGGAAGTGGAAAAGAAGCGCATCAATCGATGGACGTTGGTTGTATAATGAATGGAAGAAAATGTAAAAGAAGAAGTCATCAAGTAATAAAGGATATCAGGCAGGATATCGAAGTCTTAATGAGCTGCGCAGCCCAAATAAAAGGTAAAACAAAGCGTACCATTAAGACACAAGATATCTCTTTATCATTTGAGTTGGCCTTAAACAATTAACAAACAACAACAATATAATGAAGCCAATTTAATTGCAGCCACGAGAGGCAGGCGCGGCCGTGGGAGAGGAGAAAGCGATATAAATAGAGGGGCACAACTTGAATAATTACTTTCATTTTAACGTTGGGTAATTAAAAAAAAAATATATATATATATATATATAAAACGTAGATGGCACACACACTCGCCAACAAAAACTGGCCGCACACATGAGCATACAATTAAAATTAATTTCGGTGCCATGGCCAGTGCGTAAATTGTGAAAACCACTATCACATTATTTGGGCCGTGAAAAAATCAGGCAACCAAAACCCAAACGTATAACGTAAATTAAGCCAATAACTGTTGGGTCATGGGCAGGCATGCGAGTGTGTGTCAGAGTGTGTGTGAGTGTGTGTTAATGTGTGTGTGATCAATGAAGACCAAACAGTAGCCAGTGCCAGTGCTTGGCACGCCGCACTACAATGAGGCTCCTGTGAGCGGCTGCATTGTGCTTTATGTCCTTGGGTCTGGCCAGGATTCATCGTGCCCCCCGCCTGCCAGCCTGCCCGTCCGCCACAACACTCGCTAACGACTCCAATGAGTTTTGCATGACGATGACGATGACGATGACGACGACGACGACGATGAGTACAACATTGCTTGTCCTGTCCGCCTCCCCGCTCCTGCCCAGCCCTGCTGTGTGGCCCGTCTGGCCATAACTTCAGCCTGCTCGTTAGTGTGTGTGCTGGTCAATTGAGCCACAGTTGAACTGCAAACAATTTTTGGGCTATATATATGGCCCTCAATCGACTCGAGCCCTCGAACTCTCGAACTTTCTGAGCTGCGCCAATGCTGCACTATGCTAGCCGCAAAATCTGTGCGTTTCGAATTAAATTGAATTTCGAGCGTAATAAGCAAGCGGGTCGAAGGTTGTCATGCCAAGTAGCCCATAATTACATTAGTACTGGTCCTCACTGGCCTGGCCAATGCATGATTAGCTTATCATTCATGGGCTTGCAACCGGACGACAACATTGCGATAATAAATAGCAGGCAGCTTTAAGCTGCATGCAAAATTTCAAATCATCTCGATTATGGATCAATGCGCTCTTCTTTTCAGCTCGTTTCTGGTCGAAAATTGCAGTTTACAAATTGCCTTTTGGCTTGGAGGACCTTTTGAACAAGGATCAAACAGAAATTTGACTTTCGATTTTCTTGCTTTCCTTGTTTTCGGCTCGTTATTGACTCGTTATAATTCGCAATTAGTTTAAGCATCGAAGGAGGGGCAAGGTTCGCTCAGACAACCTGCCATGGCATAATACAGGTGTAATATATGTATATGCAATCTGTTCCAGCTCCAGGATTTCTGGTGTAAAAATTAACACTGTTGTGGTCCAATTGTCGTATATAACATCGATTCTTTAAGCCTTACATTCAATATCTGCCGCTGTTCAAATATTCAGCAGCTGGGCAATCAGTTGGTTGCGCTGTCTGAAAACCGTTTCAGCTCCAAAAACTTAATTGTAATCCACCTATGGCGTTCAGTCTATTGTGGTATTGTCTAGTTTTTGTCATTGTTTAATTAAACTTGAAGCGCACAAGCGGTTTTGTGGTCGATCTAGAGCCAGACGCCACCCCCAAATGCAGATATTCCTCTGCCCGACCAATGCCCCTATACATGCCCCTTTCCCAGTTTGCCACTTTCCCATTGGTTTGCAGTGGAAAAACAACTATGGCAATTTCATTTTTGTTGCTGTTGTTGTTGTCGCTGCATTGTTGGGGTTTTCATTATGAATTTTAATCCTCATATCGCATTCGCACTTTCGGTTCAGGCCCAGGTCCAGACGGACAGTCAGACAGCCAGACAGACCGAACGCCGAGCCGAACCATTAAGCGCTACAAAATTGCAGTAGCCATAATAACTGGCCAACAGCAGTAACAACAACAATAACAACAGCAGCACTGCAAGCATTCATGCCATTGTATACAGCAAACAACAACAAACGCGTGAAACAACAACAACAGCAACAAGAACTGGCAGAGCGTGCCATAACGACAGACAATTGCAAATGACTTTATCAATTCATGTCGATTTTCGGTACACGCAGTTCAACTGTGTGTGTGTGTGTGCTTATGCGTGTGTGTGCTTGGGTCGAGTGTGCATTGTATGGCCGTGTCAGGACAAAAAGCCACTGTATGGCAGGGCCTCACAATCACTTACAACAACACAGCAAACAATGAAGACAACAACAACAACAGCAACAACGAGAGCAGCAGCAGAGCAGAGTGAAAAGCGGAAAGCAAAGAAAAGCGCTGAAAAGTGCCTGAGCGAAGTGTGCATATCAGATGTGCCCATGGAAGATGATCTAATCTGAGTGGATTTTGAAGGCATAAAATGATTTAGAGCTGATTTTAATGAATCCATTTTAATACTTTTCATATGCAAAGCCATTTAAACGAAGCTCACCGACAGCGCACACAGACACAGCCGCTTTTCATAATCGCAGCTTCTCAGACGGGCGCTCACTAATACTTGCGCAATTACTTATACACATGCATGTGGACTTAAGCCTGATGAATTTTTATTCTTTCACCCAAATTGCTTCGCAGTTTAAGTTCTGCGTTAATCAATTTTCAAAATGAATGCAAGCATCCGATTTGCGCAGAATAAATAAATCTTTAATTAATCGTTTTTTCACTCATTTGAGCTTGGCCCTATTTATTTGTTTATTTAGCATTAACATTCAGCATAGGTGCCAGCTATTTGGTCCTTCAGCTGCTGTACTTCCGATGCATAACTCATTTAGGTGGCCGTGCTTTTGCCGCTTCTACCTTTCCTGGCTGCTTAATCAATTTATGGCGTTTACTTTGATTTGCGCAAAGGATCGAGAAAAAAAAGAGAGAAGGAGTACCATAGAAAATTATCTTTGATTTTGACTTGACCGTGTCGGTCTTGTGTCAATAGGAAGTGATTAATAGAGCGTGCGCCAGTCGAGGCGGAGGCAGCCTTCAAAATGGCAACCATCTGAATCTCCGCCCCACGGTACACATCAATTCAAAATGAATCTCGAGTCTGGCATTCAGGTTTAATTTCGACTAATTTTCAGCGTACGCTTTAATACAATATTTATGGGCTCCCCGAGGTGATTATGCCCGACCGCATTTGAATTGGTAGCCGGGCCGGCAAAGCTATTCAGGAGTCAAGAGCTGGCTGAAGCATCCCGACGAGCCAACTGAACTGGCTGCTGGTGCTGCTGGTGCTGCTTCTGCTGCTGCTCTGTTTGTTTAGCACTTGGCGTTAATAGAAATCAATATTTTCTAAATAAAGCGAAACGCTCTGAGGTTGTGGCTTAGCCAGCATTCACTTGGCTGCCCCTCGACCTCAGGCTTGGAATTTATTTTTGCACATTTACAATTAAAACGCACGGCACAAAGCAGTCCATTTGCCAATTGTTTGTTAGTCAAACAAATACTTCAAGCTGATGAATACAGCCGAAGATGAGTCTACCTCAACGTCTCTATCAATCTGCCCTCGAGTAGTTGGGACTTCGTTAGGTGATTTGGTTATGCAACAACATCATTAAATCACCAATTACTTTAGTCAACAGTGGCATAAAGTGAATTTCCTTATACACAAGAGCGTCGAGTGTGGCGCCAGTGGGTGCATAGGGCGCAGTACAGTGGGACAAAATTGAATAAAATAAAATTCGAGTCATTGAGTTATTTAATTTGGATCAGCAATGCATCAATTATAATCAATAGATGACTGTACCAAAAGAAATTTCGTCTGATGCACTTATCGATATATTATCGGTTAATCGATATGTTTACATTTCGATTAGTTGTCATTTTCTGCAAATCTATCAATTTAATCAAAGAAAGAATTCAGACATCCAGTGACATTTGCTTTTGACCTGAATGACTTCTCTTTCAATATATATTATTCAGCTATTCTTCTTCATTTGCCACACATTCGATTAATCGATTGCTTGCTGTGTTCCCTTTAATAACTGTTTCCTGTGCACAATCTTGCTTTATCGATACCTTTGAATTTCTGCCGAATTAAATGTCAATTTAAATATCGCCCGTCATTCAATGTTCGCCTCCATTGTGTGGCAAAAGCCTTTGGCTCTGCGGCACCCGACTCCATGTAAATTCCACCATATGATATATACATGCATATATATACGTCTATAAAAAATTTGTATAATAAAAGTGGGGGACTTACGTTGCAAGCTGTTCGATGCCAAGAGAATGCAGCACTGTGGGCAGGCTGGGTAGTGAATGACACGTTGTCAGTTTCTTTTGGCGTGGATAGTAAAGTGTCAGCACGGTGCAGCTTTCTTCCTTCATCGTGAGGCCACCTGTATGGGAGAAGCGAGCAAAAGAAATGCATAAGAAATGCAACGGAAACAACAAGAGAACGGAAACAAAGAAAGCAAAATAAACACATATATTTATATATATAGTATGTATATTGGGAATAAAAGGAAAAATATCGCACGGCTGACAGCACACAAAATGCAAAAATACAACGCGCAGCTTTAGCGACAGTCACCAGCAAGGACAATTTCCTGGCTGGCTGGCCAGGTAAGTCGACCCCACCTCGCCCCCCTCTCCCCTCACCCTACCCGCTCAATTCCATGACTCGCCGCCTCACTGGCTATGAACAAAGACAAAATTAAGCGGCTGCTGGCTGTAAAGCAGCAGGCGCCATCATAATAATATTCCGCAAGACGACATTGATGTCAGAGCAGGCTGAAGGATGCAGGATGCAGGATGCAGGATGCTGGCAACTGGGCACAGCAGTAGCTGAAGCATCAGCATCACCATCGCCATCGCCATCCACATCACCATCGACATCGACATCGACATCACCATCTCCATCGTCGTCCTCGTCATTATCATTGCTTTATTTGAGTTGGAAGCTTTATGTTTTCGACGCATACGCCTGACTGCCTGTTTTACTGCTCAGTTCCCAGTTCCCAGCTACCAGCTCCTAGCTCCCAGTTTCCAGCATGTCTATTCGTATATCTGTCTAGCTGTGTATATCTGTGCTTCGCTTTGCTGCAACATCGTTAGCAATGGTCTATTACGATTGTGTCTCCATAGAGTTGCACTCAATTGTTGCCGCTGCGTTCATTCACTTAGTCTAGATTGTAGATTGTCTCTTGTTGACTGTGTGCAGCAAGCAAGAAAGTCAAATTTACGTTAGGTGTGCACTCTGTCTGTGTTTTCTAAAGGGGAGTGTTCGCCTCGAATGGCTAGCTAGTAAGCATATCTCTAGGATTTTCTGCTTTGCAATAAATTATCTATTAAATTCTACAAAATATGTTCTTTACCTCAAAGCTGTTGCAGATATAATTGCATAAAATTTCTTATCGTCTTGCGTGCAACTTGAAACAACCTATACTTCATTTAATTAAACACCTTTCTCATCAGCTCTTCTCATCGCTTTCTGTTCTATTATAATATCTTACAATTGTGGAGTTCCTTCAAAATATTGGATATAAACCTATTTTTCTCTAGTATATTCATGCTATACTTAATTTAATTGAACAGCGGGCGCTTTTACTGTGATCAACTCTTCTCATTGTTGACGGTTCGTTTATAATATTGCTTTCTTTAGTTACAGTCTCTTGAATGGGACCAATACGCTCCTTGTTTCTCTCATCCGACTGTCACATTGTCCACTTTGCTGGGAGACTTGCACAGCTGTCAGTTCAGCTTGGTTCCCTCCACCTGTCACTGTATGTCTCAACACCCGCATTGCCCGCTCCCCCCAGCCCACCTGCCACCCACACCCAACCCGCTTAACACCTGGCAGTTTCGTGCTAAGTGAAATGTTTCAATGTCTTGGTTTATGTATTTTACAATGAGGTCGTCAGCGGCTCCTCCATTACTGCATCTACTTTTGCCTTCTTCCACTTGCCAGGCAGCTGTCGTGCTCTTTATTTTTGTTAGTCCGTATGACGGTGCCTGGTTCTGACTCCGGCTTCGGCTCCGGCACTGGTGCTGGTGCTGGTGCTGGTGCTGCACTTGCTCCCTTTACGATTGCTGCTGGCTGTCGCATATCGTTTGGGCTGATTTAAATGTGTCATAACGACGACTCGCCTGTTTGCCGGTACACGGTTGAGCATTGAAATTTTTGCACTTTTGCTCACGACAATGGCTGCTTGCAATTTTTATTTACTCTACCCACAGTTGAGGGCCCGCCAGGGGCAAGAGACGAAAGGGGGAACGAGCACTTACCCAGCGTAATTGCCTTTCGTGACGAACTGTCATAAATGCATTCGGCGATGAGTCTATCGCCGGGCATGGAATGCACCGACTGGGGCAAACGTCGAAAGTCCTGATAGGCCACATCTATATTGCTGTCGTGTGCAATTGGCGGAAGCTCCTCGGTTTGTCGTATCTGCAAAGTTAGTTTGCTCATTAGCATTGGTTCTGGCTTAGATCCGTCCCCGAATCCCAATGGATATCAAAGCGAAGTCCTGGGCAAATAGTAGACGGTAGTTGTCGACTCACCTGACGCAGCTTAACCTCCTTGCCGATTTGATGTGTGCGCATCATGACCGCAAAAATGTTGATGCCCTGGGTGGGAAAAGCATAGCCGGTGCAATCCTCAATGCATTGGCCCTCCGATATCACGCGCTTCTGTCCCGGCGGTATAATGTGGCGCCAGTTGGGATCCATGCCTGTAAATGTTGAGAGAGCGTGTGTTGAATACTTTTAATTAACGCTTCAGAGTGGCGCAAAGCGCGCTTTATCAAAGCCACCAGCCCGACCAGCCCGACCAGCACGACGACATTCACAATTCCCTAACCAATGCCCCGACCCAGATCCGGATCCTACTCTCTCTCTCTCTCTGCCGAAGCACTCTACTTACTTAGCTTTGAACGTTGATTTTTTAATTCGATTTGGCGGGTAACGTGTAATTACATTTTAATTGCTGCTTTTGATGTTTGTTAACAAGTTTGTCAGTGCAGCAACGTAGACAAAACCGCCAAATAGCAGCAGCAGCAGCAGAAGAAGCTGCACCACCACCAAGGAACCACCCCAGAGGGTGCCTCTATATCAATTAGGAATCTTTCTAGACTTTTAACAATTTTCGTCAATCGAATTATGTGTGCGTGTGTGTGTGTGTGTGCCTTAAGTGAATTTTGTATACGGCACGCTCGCTGTCTCAATTAGTTAAATGTTGCGAAATATTGCTCATACGAAGCGTTGCACTCGACGGCAAACTTCTCGTACCAGATACGCAATTAGGGCCGCGTGTCGCGCGTCATGTTGAAAAAATATTTGAAATTCATGTGTGCTACATATTTTTATTTACCACTGTTTGGCATTTCAATAGCTTCGTTTGTGGGACTCTGAGTATGCCAATCAAAATACTCGCGGCAAATGCTTGGCATTGCTTGAAAATCCCCATTTGCTCAGAGCCCAGCTGGCAATTGATTTTTATTGTAAATCCGCGTGGGCGCCTTTTTGTTTTCGTTTTATTTTGTATTTTTTCAGTACAGTAAAGAATTGCATGTGCATATTTATAGCTTAGTCATGCTCGGTTAGCAACATTTTATAGGAAACATTGCGAATGACATTGAGTTGATTGCATTTCTGTAATACCCGCAGCGTAAAGTTACCTACGTGGAATGCAATTTTAATTCTATGCGTGTGTGTGTGTGTGTGTGAGTGCTGCATATGCAATATTTCAAGTCCTGTATAAAATATGATTGATTTCAAAAAGCTTTGATAGTTACTGAAACTAATTTTCGACTCTATAAATAATTTAGCTGACAGATCAATCATAAAAAAGTAGTTTCTATTACAAAATTGTGGAATTATTTAAGCACAATAGTTCGAGTTTTTTCTTTTAATTATAATTTATTATTTTGTGCAAATGCAATGAATTATTTGTACAGTTGCCGTTTCAGAACAAAATTAAAATTGTTGCATTTATAAATATATATCGATTTCAGGTCACTTCAGCTATCTAAAATGAAAGTGAACAATCGAATATCTCAATTTGTAGGCCCAGCTCTGTCAGTTTGAATAACAATGTGCTCTTAAGCCCGAGGCCTGTCAAACGGGGCTTCATTAAATTAGGTAAATATAATGTTTAGTTGTTTGTTAAATTTTTTTTGTTGAATGGAATGTGCTTTAGTTAAACTATCTGTGAAAGCAATAGCCAAAAATGCTAATCAAATTGTCACCAAAAACAAAATAAGTGAAAAGAAAAAAAACAAATGTCGACCCAAAAAGTGAAATTGAGTTTTTGGCAGCAGGTGCGCGTGTGACACAAATCGCCATTTAAAATAATTAGAAAAGTTGCCGCCGATTTCTGATACGGCCGGCATTTTGCAGTTTGCATTTTGTATTTTGTATTTTGCGTTTTGTATTTTGCATTCTGCCATGTTGCAAACGAAACTGGCTGCTGTCAACGTGGCGTGCGGCAAATGCAACGTCAATAAAAATTACCAAAATCAAACCCCACCCCGGGCTAGCTCGTGTGTTAAATATCGATTTGAAAAATATGCAGTTATGAATTGTGCCACGCTCCACAGTGTCGTCTGGCCAAATCAAATAGAAATAGAGCCAGTATACCAAACTCTCTAAGCCCTCGACAGCAAACCCCCCGTCCAGTCCAAAGTTTAAAAGCAACTCCCACTCGTTGCGTCGCTTTGGCCAATATTGAATTTGATTTAATGAATGGAAATTGGCAAAAAGCATCGATATATACAGATATAGAGGCAGAGAGAGGGAGAGGGAGAGGGAGACAAACGTTGACAGTAATTTATGTACCTAACTGTTATTGAAATCTTTTTCGCTTTAAATTCATCAAATCTTTCAAAGCATACTTTTTGGCGCACACGTTTTATGAGTTCATTTGTTAGCGAATAAATTAAAATAAAAGGGTTTTCAATAAAATTGTATTCAATGTTTTAGCTAGAATAGGTAAAATAATGAAATATTGCGCATTAGGCATGCTACGATTGATTTTAATTTATAGCACGTTTCTGGGAATCACATCGCCGAATCACTGACAGCCATCTGGTCGAAAGTTTTTCGCGCTTTAATTAAGTAAAATTTGATAAACGCGCATGAATTGCAATTTGGAATTAAATTGATGACGCGCTTTTGCAATATTTGCTAGATACACTTTATCAATCTCCTCGCAGCACGTTGATTGATTCCGTTTCGTGACATTTAATAAAATGACCAGCAGAGGACAAAACGCGACGGGGCTATTTCGAAGTTAGCCAAGCCAACATGTCATAGTTCAAAAATATGTACTCTCTACTGTAATGGAAAATTGATTTAAAAAACGGTGCAGCTGTTGTTAGTAAATAAAATACAATTTCTAAAAACTTTGCCAACTAACACCCAACACACTTTGAACTTTGCAAATTATATTCAGTATTTAATTATTAAATCAGGTAGATGGAGATAATTTGTGTTTGTGTTCGGCGCTTAGTTAAACTTCGTTTTTAAATGAGCTTAAACCCGTGAACTTTCAATGTATGATGTTTTAGAGATTTTTATATTAAATATTTAAAAAGATTTGCTGTTAGTTCTAGTGCATTTTTGGAACTTTTAAGCTGAAAGCTTCTGGGCTAACAAACTCCCAGTCTTTCTCTTTGATGGCGTCCACACTCCAATCAGCGCCAATCGGCTGCAATCGGCCCCCGTTCTCCATCTCCAAGGTGCCACAAAAAACATGCCAAGCCGCAGCAACATTAATCAAAGCGGCGTTGCATACACCAGGGCGCTATATCAATAACCAATTAAATTGAAATTAAATTTCGCCACACGGACGGGAGAGCGGCCCAGAGGAGAGACCCACAGATCTACGGACAGACAGCCGTACAGGAAGCGTAGCAATTTCACAGCTACTTACGCGTGTTGGGTCGACCAGCTTTGGCATATCCCGTCGCCCGTCTCGGCGCGCGTAAGTCCAAACGTAATTCAATTTATTGCGAGCCAGCAAAATGTATCCACTGTTTATATATATATATTTTTAATTTTTTATATAGAAGTGTGTGTGTGTATATTTTTTTTATTTATTGACTGCCGTGTTGTGGTATGCGTTAAATTCCAATTAAATATTTCAATAGCATTGCCAACTGCGCTCCACTCAAGCATAACCAGGGACCTAGCCGGAGCTAGCTGCTGCCTGCCTCCCGTTCTTGGCCTGCTGCTACTATGTTGCATGACGAGGCACTAAATATATATGCATATATATTTGATTTCATTATACTCTTGCGTGGGGTATTATATTTTGCCGAGAAATGTTTAACGAACCCAATAAAAATATATATGTATGTATATGTTTAGTTTTTTTGATGCAGCTCATAAGTCGAAATCGGACGGAATGTAAATCAATCTTTTATACTACTATATCATATGGCTCTCTAGGGAGAATTGTTAAAGAATGAGATATTGTATTTTAACCAAACGCAGCAATTTCGAGTTATAATAGTATATATCTCAAATAATTGCCTTCTATATCTGTCTAGAAGGGCATTTCAGCTTCGATGTGCCGTAGGTAGCTCGTCTTTGCCGTATTTTTATGCTTTTTATTTTATTTGATTCGCTTAGAAATTGCACTGTATCAGAATGTATTAATCTACTTCTGCTACTTTTTTGCCGTAATACTCCGGAAGTTTTGGCAACACCTCCTCAAAAAGCATCGACGAGAACGTGTGGCCACTGGTGCAGGATGACGAGGAGGAGTAGGGGGGGAGGTTTGAAGGTGGCCCGATACCTTCATCCTGTATGGCTTATTCACTCACTTCCTATCCACAGTCCCAACTGTGTTGGCCATGTCTCTGTGCGGTTGTAACAAAGTTATATTGGTTTGCGTGACTATGAACAAAAGTAAAATAACAATTACAACAACTGCAACAGCAGCGACCACAGTGCCCCCCACCCCCCCCCCCCCCCCCCCTGGCCACCAGTCCGCCGCCCACCCCGCCCGGTGGCCACAAGCAAATACAAAAACCAAACGAAGCAACCAAAAGCCGAACAACAGCAAAAATAACAATAAGAAATAGATGCAGTAGAGGGAGTACGAGTAGAATAGAAGAAAAATCAAAAAAAGAAAAACATCGAAAACAAATTGTAAAGTGAAATTAGTATTTTAGTTATCCTGTGCGCAGGCATAGCTATGTGTATGCATGTATGTGTGTGTGCATGTATCACAGGGAAACCTGGAAATTTGTTGAGCTTTGCCTGGCAGCGGGTGGGCTATCGGGGTTGTTTAGGATACTAAGGTTCCGGGAAATATACTCAAAAAGCGCTTAAGCTTGGCGAACACACGAATTTACTTGTTGTGGCCAAGCCAGCGTGGGTGGCATGAAAACTTAGTGAAGACTGTGAACAAATGGCAGACATTTATTTTGTCAGCCAGACGGACGAGTGCCTGTTAACCAGGCCCAGACCTAACATAATGTTAGGCTGCACTTGCGAGTGATTCTTCACATTAATTTTTCAAGGATTAATAAATGTCTAGACTAAGTAGGGACATTGTTTACAAGGCTTAACACATTTCAATACTTTTTAAAGTCTTTCATTTTTGGCCTTCAGCTATAATTTATAACCCGGCATTGCCCGGCTCAATGCAATAGGCAACGAATTTGTTTGTACACTTATTTAACCTTGATTTGAACCTTGATTAACATTTGAACCTTGATCTCCCGCGTGTTAAGTGTCAGGTAGGCAGGTCATTTCATTTTCACTGCTCACTGCCGTCCCAAAGGGAATCTTCTCTTAAAACTGTATTCTACCCGTTTGTCACTTTTGATCAATCAGTCGGGCATTCTGTCAGTCAGTCAGAGCTAGGTGCTTTATATATTATAGAAAGACCCTCGTAGCTGTTTTACGTACAAAAATAAATATTTGAACTATGTCCAATTGACGTACTTCCATCCCTTTGGGCTCAAAAGCCAGTTAAATTAATAATACGAATATTGTATACTACAAACTTTTAGAGGGCCATGCTATGAATTGCCATTAGTAATTTATTAATTTGTTTTATGCGTGCATCGCGCACCATTTTATAATTAATAATTCAGACAAAATAAAAAACAAAACAAATTGTTTGCCGGTCTGGTTTATAGCCGAAGAGACGCACTTGATAAGCAATTAAAAATATATTTCTATTGTACAAAATCGTGAATGCAGTCTGGCACGATAGACAATGTTTCGCCAGGGTATACCTTTACCCACAGCACACGCACACACACACTGACACACACACACAGACAGATAGATGGAAAACTCATATGCTTTTGTTTTACTAGCCACCAATGCGGCTGCCAGCTGTAGAGGACCGCAGCTCCCAGCTTCCGACTGAGCAACTCCCAGGGTCGTTTTTGGTCTCGGCAATCTCATAAATTGCATGACATGAGTTGCATATATAAAAGCTCGCCTCGCATAAAGTATACACACTCACACTCGCACTCACACACACACACACCAACCACTGCAGTGCTGCAGACACTCACACATGTATTTTTGAATATATGTATGTATATATGTAGATGTATCTATGTGCTATGGAGGGGGGACACCCAAACTTACCGATTGACAAAATGCCAGCGTCATTTGGTCGCAGCACGTGCGTAAAGTAGATTTTCAAACCAGAATTATCCGCCATTTGTCTGGCATGCAATTGGGCAAAGTCCGGCTTCAAATTGTTGTAATGGGTCTCCATTAAATAATATTTGGCCTGTCGCGACTCAATCGGGTAGCCCGCTTCATGTGGATACGTAAAGCCCTGCAAAACAGAAACGACACCGAATGAAACAAAAGTTCCCAAAAACGAAAAATAGGAAAAAAACAAACAATAAGCACGAGTCACTTGGGAGTTGCCGACTGCGCAATGCGCTGTACACAGTGTAAGTTGAATTGAAAAAGAGTCTGCTTGATTATTCGATTTTAATTGCAATTTGTGGAGGAAGCAGTGGAATAATTTTGCCCCGATCTCCATAGAAGGTTGATTAAGTGATGACATATTCCGGACAGACGGACGGACAGTAAGATATAAAACCGATATACTCCTTTTCACATTGTGTAGCGAGTTTCAAAAAGAAGCTGCGAGTGTTGTTTGTAATATCCATATTTATATACATATGTATGTTTGCATGTATGCATGCACATGGATTCCACTATGGATGGAAAATGAAGGACGGAAGTTAATGCCATGGCCATGTGCAATTTAAATGCGCAGCAACATCAGCTACAGCCCCCGCTCCCCCTACTCCGTCGCCACCGCCGCAGCCCCCTCCAACGGCAACGGCAACGGCAGCGGCAGCGCAAGCCGTTGCCATTCAATTGCATTGCAGTGCGCAGCGCCCCCTGGCGGCGCGACATGGGCACTGCATTATGGCAGCGCTCCTGTGATGAAATTATGAAAAGCATGGCCAAAAAGGTTCCGAAAGTGCAGAAGGCCAAGCCATTTCTTTTTTTATGCGATAATACCCTTGCCGAAATTGAGAACTATAAATTAATAGATAAGCTTGAACACGTACAGTTTGATAAGTCTGCCAAGAACTGATATATATAGCTATATATAGAGACGGTGAAATATAAAAAACCATTTAACAATGCTGAAGTGAATGTTCCTATGTTATAAAACGGAAGTCTTACTTAAATAAAAACTGTGTAAGTTATTCGCCATGATTTGAATAGATAAAAATACAAATTTTCCCTTGGCTAGCTTGATTTTTTTGAATTTAATAAATCTTTGTTTTTTATTTCAGCAAGGGTATTTAAAACGTCGTGCACTCGAGCAGACTTAACTTGCATTTTGTGTTGAAAGGAAGGCATTTGCGAAGGTTAAATTAATATTGCATGGTTATGGTTGTGACACTGATGGGGTATGGGGATAAGTTGAGCTGAGTTGAGTGCAGTCGAATCTGATGCTTACCTCGCTGCCCCGCGACCAGGAGGCAACAATGGCATTGCATGCCAGCGGTATGGAACGGGCGCCCATGCACTGTCTGCCCTGTTCGCGTGCCAGCTCCTCCAGCTCCGAGTGCGACCCTTGGCACTCGTGGAGCGTTATGTGCTGCAAGTAGTGTACGCTGGACGATGAATCATAAATCGGCTCGTACTGTCGGTCCCATGAAAAGAAAATGAACAGGTCCAGAGACAATCCAGCGTGCGGGGAGAGCGTGTAGAGACAGAGATAAATAAATTTTTAATATTTCAATTTGGTTATGCCGAGGCCAAGGAGCATCATCAGCGACAAAAAAAAAACATAAAGAAACGAGGACTCCGAATGCAGCAGACTGCACTTGCCCTCAATTATGCATTGTGTATAAGTATTAACGTTTAGCAATGGCCACGTTAGTTCTTACCCGAATGAGATGATGCTTCCGATTGATATCCTCCAGCTTGAACATTTTGCACCAAAAAAGCGGCGTATCGCCGGGAGGCAGCTCCACGTCCTCATTGCGCAGTTCCAGCACACGGACGCGCTCATCATGCGGCGATGGCAACTGCAGCTGGGCGCGCTGCATGAGCACCATGGGCCGATAAGGTCGGAAGGCGCGCGCCGGATCGGGCAGCGTGCCGGGACGCACCGAGCCGTGCGGTGGATCCTGTGCGTGATACATGTATAGCAGGCGCATTGTATCGTTCTGTAAAACAGAAAAAGGCAACACGAAAAAAAAATAAGAGCAGGCAAGGATAATGGAGAGTTGAAAAATGTGTAAAAAATTAGTGGCCAAAGGTGTGTGTGTGTGTCTGTGTATGTGTGTGTGTGTCTGTGTATGTGTGTGTGGAGCACAAAATGGCGTTATAATAGCGTCCCTTGGAACAGCGGACAACAACCCACCTGCCTGCACCCGGACAACAAGAGCAATAATGTCGCTGCTGACGTGTACATGGATGGACTGTCTGGAGCTGTGGGCTACGCGGACTGGGGGGCAGGTGGTGGCTGTCCGGCTAAATTAAGTAAAAGTACAAAAAAAAAGGTGCGCACGAGTTGAGCAGCGGAAGGAAACGGAAGTCGCCTTGCGGCCATTGGCAGCCGGGCAGGTGTTGTTTGGTCAGCTGCAGTTAACTCTGCAGCTCCGTGCGCTCCATGTTTCATGTACGGACTTGTTTCGTCTTGTACGTACGTGATTGTAATGGCGGGCGTAAGACAAGTCACTTGAGCGACTTTGCCACTATTCAATGGCTGCCTTAATTAATGGATGGCAGCCAGCTAATGTGCTCAAGAGTAGTTAAGAACACAACATTATGTTTCAACTTTAAACAGGAGCTAGCAATTTTGAAGACACGTTGAATATTGTTTATATATTTATGTATTTTTTATCAAATTGGTTTACCACACGTGGTTTTATCAATAATCCCCTTCTATGAAACAAACATTTTAATATAGAACGCAATCGGAAGAAAATTGAACTGTCATTCATATAATATAAATCTTCAATTTGGGAGGTTTTATACAGGAAACCATGAAAAATATCGTTCATAAATTGTCTTAAGGGTACTCGATACCATTTAGCACCTATTTTCCACTTATGAATGTACATTGACTGCCCATCAGACATTCAGTCAGGAGAAAGTTTTGCATTTATTAGTATTATTTGTTAGTAAATAACTAAGTTAATAGCAGTACATCTTTATTTTACACTACTTGCAGCACAAAACATGATTGACTGAGCGCCGTTGCCAAATTTCAGTGCTTCCATAAGATTAATTTTATAAATGCCTACTTATTTATTCAGCTCGCACTCTAAGTGACATGCTAACCAAATGAAACCAAGCTAAATCAACTAATTTGAGTTCATTCAACTTAATTGCATGACCTCTAGAATTGCATTTGACAACTGTTGCCAAATTTCACAAAGCAATTGCTTCAATACTGTTTTGTTGCAGACTGTACTTGAGCATTTACCAAAATTGTGCAGTTATTTTTCATTCGTTTTACCGACACCAAAGAGGCTACCCAAGGGCTCGTCCTGTCCGCCATTACATCTTAGCTTCAATTTACACGTCTGGTGCGGCGAACGTGTGTATATATATATATATCTAGATGCATACGTATATATCATATGGGACTGTTCCTATATGTATATATGTGTATTTGTTTTGTGCTTTCTCTTGGCATTTCTTTTGTATTATGTGTGTGTGTGTGTGGCCAGCATGTATATTTCATTTGCCACGTAGTTTTAATTGGTAAACCCAAATTAAAGCTTTCATTAAAGAATCACAACACGACGGACGTCGCGTCGGGCCAAAATGTGCCCGCGAGCGGGAAGTACCATATTCGTATACAGACCCCCCTTCGCTCTGCTCTCCCCTTTTGCTCCTCGGCTCGCTCTGTTTGTACTTGACTCGTATGCCTCGGGGGCTTTTGGAAGCCAACAGTCAGCTGTCATTGTGTGCATGTCATGTGCACGTGTGTGAACTTATGTGTGTGTGTGTGTGTGTGTGTCTGAAGCGACACAACAACAATAACAACAATAACAACACATATAGCAAACATGGCAGCACCACAGAGAGGGTGAATGAGAGCGAAAGAGAGAAAGAGAGAGAGAGAGAGAGCGGTGCAGGGCAGGGTGTCGGAGATTGTAAAAAAAATCTGCAACCCGGTCAGGGCATCCATTTGAATTCATTGTGGCAAAGTGCCCATTGTAGCTGTTAAGTGGAACTGTAGAGCACCATGTTCGACAATTGACGGCCAGGGCAGCCAGGGCCATGCCCAGGACAGCGACAACAACGACAACGACAACAACGACGAGTCCTTGTCCACTTGTTCATTTTGCCAGCAACGAGGAGACAATACTTTAATTAACAATTCCCTTACCGCCCACCGCCCCCCGGTTGCCAGCAACCATATCGCCCCCGCCTTATTCATAGCAAGTCTGCAAAAAACCTGTACAAATGACTCGGTTGCCCGCTGTCCGGGCAAACACTGCGGGCGGCTGCGGCAAACGCGCTAACCGGCCGGCAATCGCTGGCCAGCTGGCAGCAAAAACAACAGCAACAACAACAACTCTTTTCGGGGGCAGTTTTAAAACATTTGCCGTGCGACAGGCGCAGCACAAAAGTCATTAACGTGGCTACGGCGCTGCTGGACATGGCCCAGTTGTAAAAACATGACCACTGTGAAAAAACTCAACAGTCATTCGGAAGCAAAAAGGATACACGACCTCGAAAGACGACTTCAGAATGCTCTTTACACAAGGCGAAAATATGCAAGGAGAACAGCAGGCAATGATGAAAATAAAAGTGGAAAGTTTGCAAAGGAATTTAGAAAAAAATATGACTGTATTTAAGAAAAATGAACGTAAACAGAATTTCAAAACCAGAATCTTTCACTGAATTCCCATTAAAAAGATATTAACATATTAACTTAAAAAAAAGAAAGGCAAATTAAAAGCATATTTTAATAGCCTGTAATAATGAACTTGCTTACAATATTTATGCCGACATTTTAAGGCAACAGACCTTCCCTTTGTTGGGAAAAAATAAAGGACCTTACAGCCAGGACTGCAGCCGGTGTTAATGGTTGATGGTTCAAACTAGCTTCTAGCCTTAAGGCTCAGTTTTTGCACCTAGTTTTACACAGCCATGAATCAAGATTTTGTTTCAAAACTATGCTTGCCATATATTTTAAAATTTCTTTTATGAAACATTTTTATTTTTACTGAAAATATTTTCATACCCCAAAGTTGACAAAGTTTAAACAAAACACTTTAGAAAATAAAACATGGTTCGGTTTGTGTTTTGTCTCTTAAGGTTTGATTTGCAGTAAAAAAATAAATTAGAGTTTGCGACTTGAACCGATTCGCTGCAAAGACGTTTTCCAGTCTTGTTCCCAATTAGAAAAGACAATACTTGTGTAAACATTTCTTATACGCGCTATAAATATCACATAATTAGCCGCACAGTCCCATAAAAAAGCAGAAGCCTTTGGGCATCGTAGGGTATCATCACGTAGAAACAAAGTGTGAAAAAGCCTGAGACGAACTATGCACACGCACGTAGAACAACATGAACAACAACAACAGCTGAGAGCCGACAACTAAAATGAAATGAAAGGCTTCAGCAAGGATTACAACCAAAAATTAATGAAAGCAAACTGGCTACAGTCATTTGGTGTGTGGTCAACGTTTGGCCAGGGACTTAATTGCCAAAGACTGTGCAGGGATGAGCGTCGGCCGGCTGCGGTGTGTATGTGTGTGTGTGTGTGTGTGTCAGCTGCTGGCGGCAGTATAGGAGCACAGGCACAGGACTGGAGGACTACAGGTGGCTGGCACTTTGCTGACTCTTGGCTAATTGTAAAATGCGACGGTACAAGGACTCATTAGAGTCGTGGTTACGGCTCAAAAAACTTGCAAGGATTGCAGCTAAACGCTTGCCTGAACACAGAATGAGGTCCAAGGTCTAAGGTGCTCGGTTTAAGTGCACTCGAATGACGTTTGGGCTTTTGTTAAAGCAGGCTTGAGCTGGCATTCTCAGTGCTGTCAAGCGGATATAATAGTTCAGTTGTTATTTTCACTGAATCGAAATTAAATTGAAAAATGCTCGCTCATCGCCAAGCTAATGTAATACCGCGTCTGTCGGGTCGCGGCAATTACAAGGAATGGAGCCACAAGGTGGAACTGCATATGCGCATCCAAGAAATGTGGCCCGCTGTCATCGCACCGCCGGTGCCCATTAAAACCGAGGTGGAACGGGAGGATTATATATTTGTTGCCTCGCGCAAACGCATTTACATACAGTGTCCCGATTCCTTGGTAAGAGCAGAGTAAAGCACAATTCATTAAAATCGCTTTGAGGTATTTCTCTCTTGTCAGAATCGCAAAGTGAAGCTATTTTTGTTAAGATTCATAGAACCTATGATTATTATGCCTGGTTATCCTGAAATGAGTGTTCCCTACATTTGGCATGAACTGAAACGTCAATATGGCCATCTAGATGAGTCCAAGCGGAAGCTTAATGCGAAGCTGCTGAAGAAAAGCAAGAAAATCAAGTTGGCCAAGGAGAAGGAAAACTCTTTCGGAATAGATCCATGAGTGAAGTATAGTTCTATAATACAGGTTGTTTTGTTTTAAATTTGTTGTTCGTTTTGGTCGTTAGTTAAAAAGCACAAATAAAAATCAGGTCTTAAAACCAATTGGGACCTTGAACCGAGTATCTATATCAGCCGAATTGAATGCTAAGCTGATCCATATTTTCCTTAAAAATACTTGAGTTTTTATCGCATAAATAACTTGGGCCTCAACCATTGGATTCTTTTAATCATATTTGGTAGATGTCAATTAGTATGTGAACATAATTTCAAATATAAGTTAACAATTGAGTAGTTTCATTAAAGTTATTAAAAATACTTTAACAACTGATATTTGAACTAAAATCTGAGTGTGTAAGGACAAGCTCACGAAGCGAATTTAAAGGCAGGGAGCTGATTTGAGCTCATTTATTATTTTGCGTTTGCAGTTCTCAAAATAAGAGAAATGGAAAGATTATGGGTGCTAAGATTTCTGTGGGTCGGCCCACACCCAGTGGTTTTAAGTCGTAATCGTAGTAATATATTATTTTTTAAATATTTAAATTAGTACAAAGCCTTAATTAGGCCAATAGAGAAAAAATAATTGTGTTCAGTCTTAGCTTTGGCTGCTTTTTATTTATCTGATCCGCTTAAGGGTTCGGTTCATGGTAAATAAAATATTGGAATTTCGGCCTCAAACCGATTCGATTCAAAATTGGTTTTATAGGTCTTGGACTGGGTAAGTAAACTATAGCTCTTTGATTTTATCATTCTAAGGAGCACATCTCATTAAATCTATCGCAATTTTATTGATTTTCTTTGTATGCTGACATAAATTATTTTGTTTAACTTGTCCAAATACACAGCCCAGTCTCGCACATACACACACACACACACACAGACACACACGTACGCACACCTCAAACTTTATAGCCCATTACGATTGTGTTGATGTTGTTGTTGTTGCTGCTGCTGTTGCATTGTTATTCCTCGTGTTGCTGCTCTTGTTGGCTGCTGTTGAGTCGAGTTTAGTTGAGTTTTTGTTTTGTTTTGTTGCCACTTGCGTTTTGCCATCTCAACGCGTTTTAATAATGGTCCAATTGTCCCAGAAGCGAATACGAAACGAAACGAAACGTACGCCAAGTTGGCGCTGCTAATGGCTAATGGTCAAGTGGTCAAGTTGAACCGTGTCCTGGAGCTGGTCTCTGTCTCGGTCCCGTCCAGGTCTCGGTCCCGAACCCGGACCCGGTCTTGGCCCTGTTCTGGTCAGCCACTGTTTGCTGGGGCCACAAAACTTGCTCTTTGCCAAGCTTGTTTAATGTGCACGTAATTGAAATGCATTTACAATTGAATTATAAATAGAGCAAAATACACACACACACACGCAAACGCACACGGATGCAGATACATACATATAGGAAAATTCACACTTGTGCAGTAGCAGACATACGTACATGACCCCGTTGCCCCCGCTGCACTTGAACAATAAAAGCATCGAGTCGCTTTGTTAAAGTTTCAGCAGCGGCAGCTGAGCTTGCAACTAGCAACTGGTACTGGCAACTGGAATCAAATCAACCGTTCCCCAGAAGCATTTCAAGAGGTGTCTTTGTCTGTGTGTGTGTGTGTGTGCACCAGGTTGCCATGGTCACGTCGAACAATTCAGAGTCATGTGTGCCTGTGTGTGTGTGTGGGTGTGCTTCTGCCTGTGCTCCTATTCCTCTGTGAGGCATTGCCAATTCAATCATCAATGGGTTTTTCGTGCGCTGCTGCAAACGTCTGTGGCCTGCAACTTTCTGACAGCTGATTTCAATAACTAATATGCAAAGTGGCAGATTGGTCATGCCACGCCCACACGGCTCCTCTAACCTGTTTACCCCGGCAACTGGCGCTTTTTCCCCTCGACAGCCCCTCGATACCTGATGTTGAGTTTTTGTTGTGCTCTAATTGCCGTGTCAGTCGCTCTGATTGCAGCAGTCAGCAGCAGCAGGCTTTGTTGATAGGCTTTTTATATGCAACCAGCAGGCTCCACACACACACACACACAAGCACACAGAAGCACACACGCACACATGAGTCTGAAACACACGACAGGCTCATGTGCCAAAATTCTCAGACTAATCGCTTGGTCTGTGTCCCATTTAGCTTTCATTCTGTTGTGGGCTCCTAAGTGGCTTAATGATTTTTGTTGCATTCAATTGAGTCATTTTAACTAATGCTGTGTGTTGTGCGTGCGTGTGCGTGTGTGTGTGTGTGGTGTGGCATTGTGTGCTTTGTGCTCTAGTCGGAATTGACATTAATTGAATTTATTTATGACAAGTGTGGCAGCTTTTGCTTCTGCACTTAAACGCAGCAATCTAATTAAATTTTCTCCAAATTTTCTAAACAGGTGTTGTTATTATTGTTGCCACTGTGTTGAATAGGATTAAATTAAATAAGACGATTTTAACAAGCTGACGGGTGTGCTTATTATTTCAAATTTCAGTTGAGGTTTAACTATCTTCTCTTGTGAGTGTGGCTACGTTTAAGCAACGAATTTGATAGCTATTAAAATTTGCCCCATTAAATGCAGGTTTTTCCATCATATTTCTACATTTATCTTTAGCTTTAGTTTTTGTTTTCAACGTTTTTTAACTCAACGAATTGTTTTTATTAACATCTTAAGCTATTAATATGGCTTTGGGCGTTTATTTTGAGCGCTTGGTGAGTGGCTTTTCTGTCGATTGCTTTGAAGTTTGAGAGCCCAAAAAAGTATGCAACAGAATGTATATTGCATGCTGCTTGAAAGCCTTTGGCAGTGCCACATCCCACACACACGAACACTCACACACATGCAGACAGAAACACTCACATGGCCATTAACCCAGCCATTGCAGTTGGATTTAAGCGTTTCTCTCACTCGCCAGTCGCCAGTCGCCACTTGCGTCGCTGCCAACCAAACAAAAATGCGCATAATTCCCGCTAAAAGTTTGAACTCCCGAACAAACTCTGAAGCTGGTACAGGTTCGGCCAGGGACTAAACGTTCCGTGCCACTTCCACTTCTGCTTCCATTGCCATGGCCATCGTTCTCGTCATCGTATATTTGTCAAGCAAATGGAATAACCGTTGCAATTGCAACAACGTCAAAGCCAAACAAAAATGTTATTTGCCGCTTTGCCCAAAAATCAAGTACACAACCAAACCAAAACAGGCAAACGCCGCACCAGAGCTGGAGCATGTGTAGTCCGGACCCAAAAAGTGGTCGCTGTTGGGTTCTGCGACTCGCTATGATGTCCATGATGCTATTGTGTGGGTGTGCGCGTGTGTGCGTGTGTGTGCGTGTGTGTGTGCGTCTGCCTGTGGGTCTGGCAACGGCTCGCATAGTCGCTTTATTAAAGCTAAAACCTGCATTGTCCCCTTTTACACATGAGTTGTGAGTTGCAAGTTGCGAGTTGCACGGTGCGGCGCGGCAAAGCGCAGCCTCCTCTTGTATAAACTGGCAGAGATTCGCATGAGCTCCACAGTAACAGGCAATCGAAATGGTCAGAGCTTATAATGCTCTATACGAGCGCTGGATAATACACATTTGACGAATTGTGCGTACTTTGAATTGGGTACGTACTAGATGAGGATTATTAAGGAGTCAAGTTCCAACAAGTCAAATTGCACAGAAACTTGTAATATGCGGTGATTAGTGTTGAACAACGCTTTATAGTTGCTTATGTCACATATCAATTGACGATACAAGCAATACTATAGCTAGTCCAATTTATTGTCTGCACTGAATACAAAATTAGTGCATGAAATTAATCCCATTTAAACAACAAAACGTTTAGTATTTCACAACACTTGATAGCAGGACTAAGGATTGTGGCAAACAGAAAACTAACAAAATTGCATCAGCCGATCGTTTCTTAAGTCCTTAAATGTAGTTTTATCAATGGTAAAAAATATTTGAAAATTTTAAATAAACATTCAACAAAGAAATGCCTTTGATTGGCATACAATAAAAAGTGTAACATTTTACAACACTGCTGCGAGTGTTTTTAGGCCATATAAGTAGTTTCTAATGTAAAGAGAAGTTTGCAATTTTCAATTTCACACAAATGCATTTCCCCATATATTTTTGCTCATATGGAAATTTTGCCTTCAGGGCATTTGTGCTTCGGCTTGGCTGGGATTTAGCAATTTCCTCTTGTTGCGCTTCACTTTCGGGCTGTGATTTTCGCGTTTTGCGCGTAAAGTTTGCTCAATGTGTGGAGTGTGTTGTTGTTGCCGTTGCAGCTCCTGTTGTGGGCACTTGAAGTGCATGTGAAACGTGCGCTAGGCAAAAAAACAAAAACAAAACCAAAACAAAAAAAAAATCCCAGACTCAGGCAACACCAAAGCTAAACGCAACGAGAAACGTTTGTTTTAATGCCCTAAAGCGACAAATATTGGTGGAGCAGAGAAGAGCGAGCGGGTGGCGCAAAAGGGCTGCAATACAAAGCTCTGCGTGGGATTTAACAGCCAAAGTAATGCAATGACAAACAAAAGCAACCAGTGAGAGCCAACCATGAGTCAAGAGCGGCAGGAGTCGGTTTTTGCTGAATACTGCGGCTGGGCGCGGTTGCAATTTTGGCCATTTTTCAGTTAGTTGAGTGTTTTAGCAGTTGTTGTTGCAGCCAAGGCAATATATAACCAGTCGAGCTTGCCAGCTGGATTAGCCATTCAACGTTTTAACGTGCATGTCAAATGCAACAGGCCAGGAGAATCAAGTCTAAAATTTGTACGTCTTTCGAGCGAATGTAATTAAGCCCTGGCAGCCAGCTCCTGCTGTTCGGCAACGCCAGTTGCAAATACAAAATAATTAAATAATAATAAAATGGAAGGGAAAACCGCAAACATCATACGGTAACATTTTTGCCCCACCGAGCAGAGCTGTAAAACCAATTTGTTTATAAAAACTATGGGGTCAGACTCTGGCATAAAGTGTGCGCATTGTTGCTAACCTGTAGTTATTTTATTTTATTATTTATGGTTAAATGGTGCAGTGTGCGCCCAACCCCCACCCACGGCCTGGTTCGTCCACAAAAAGCTAACTCGTTTATTAAATTCATTTCGTAGTCGTCTTTTTTTGTATTTTATTTTGCATTTTGTTTTTTTTTTTTTCATTTTTATATAGTTTTCATGCCGCGCCAGTAACCAAATAAACCACAAAACCCGAGCAGCTAAGCAACTAAGACACACACACACACACACACAGAGAGATTGGGAGTGGGGGGCACACACACAAAGTAACCGCAAAAAAGTGGTCAGTTGGCCAAAAACTAAACGAAATGTAATAAAGCAACGGATATGCCAGTTTGCTTGAACTCTACAGCAAAGCTGGCAATAGGAAAACGGGTTGCATAGAGAAAAACTGTGCTATGCAGATAGTTGGGATAGCTCTTAGTGGCGAGGCAAAAGCACAACACAATAAATGAATATGAATTAGGCAACAAGCTTCATGCTTAAAAGGTCTCTAGCTTGGCAATAGAAAAAAGAAACACTGCTGCAATATTTGAGGGCAGTTTGATTTGTAAAGGTAAGGCTCAAGTCGAATCGCATGCGGTTCCTTGCAGTCTCAGGTCCAAATAAAAGCTGCAATCTCGAATTACTGCTTCATTCAATCATTAATTCTTTGTATGCTATTTACTCTGGCTGCAATTTAGTAATTTAAATTGTTGGCAATTCCCCTAAGTAACGAAGCGCTTTACAAAACTAGCGCAACTTGCTGACTG